GCCAGTCAGTACTGTTTTACAGAGAAACCCTGTCCTGAAAAAACAAACAAACAAAAAAACCAAACAAACAAACAAAAAAAGAACCCTGAGGTAACGGGAATATTTTACAATCATGCATGCAATTCCCTTTAAAGTTTTATTCTACTGTTATTCATTTTAAATTTTTTTGTTGTTATTTTTTTGTTTGTTTGTTTGTTTCTCTGTATTGTTTTGGAGGCTGTCCTGGAATTCGCTCTGTAGACCAGGCTGGCTACAAACTCACTGAGATCCGCCTGCCTCGTTTTATAAATTCATTTTATAAATTATCTACCTCCAAATATTAGTAAACACAAAACCGCAATTCAATGTTTAGACTTGCTTGGTTTTGGGCTCTGCTGTTTTCAGAATGGGTACCAGAGTCTAAGCACAGGCCTTGTTCCCAGTAGGAGGCCAGCACTCTGCCACTGACCTACACACCCAGGCACCTTCGGTCTGAAACAGAGCCTTGCCATGGGATCTAGGACAGCCTTGCAGTCGGCCCTCGCTTCAGCTTCCTAAGGGGGGGGAATGGCGGGTGTGCCGCCACACAATGGACCACAGTGCATTCCGTCCATGGGTACTACCTAATTTGTTTTCTTGGTCTTGTTTTTGCTTTTGAAACAAGGTCTCTCTGCATATAATCCTCTGGCTGTCCTGGAACTCACACTGTAGACCAGACTGGCCTCAAACTCACAGAACTCACAGAGATCCACCGGTCTCTGCCTCCCGAGTGCTGGGACCTGTACCATCACGCCCAGCTTTCTTTAGAAAAGCTGCAGGGGTAAGACTGCCCTGACAGCAAGAAGGCAGGCCAACTGCACTCTGCTCTTCTTCCAGGAGGGTTAAGGGGAGGACGAGGAGCCCCCACAAAAACCTGAATAATCAGTAGTAACGTCCTAGTGGCCAAACTCAGCAGATTGTGCAGTCCGACTGCTCTTGGCAAGCCTCTTCCCCTTGAGTCTCGGGAGCACTCCCTTAGGGGCAGCCTGCGGTCTGCAGCAGGCACTACGCATAGCGCGCTGACCCTCAATGCAATGCTGAGTCACTCTCCGCACCGTCTCCAGGCTCATCCTTGGTCTTCACTGCAGACCTGAATCTCAAGCTAGTCCACCAGGCCTCCCACAAGCACCTGGAATTCACCATATCCAGAAGTAAACATCATCTTGTCCTCTCCCCATTCTCTCTAACATGGTGGGTGTCACCATCCAGTGAGTCACCAAAAACCAAAGAAGCTATTCTAAATGCATTCTTTGAACAAACACTTAGTGAGTGCTGATCGTGCTCCAGGCACTGACGAGGAAGACGGCGGGGATGGGATCCCACCCTTGGGGAGAGAAGCAATGCAGGGGCAGATAGACAGTGGACAGAATAGAAACGATAAACCAGCAGTTCAGAGCATTTGCTGCTCACAATCATTTAAACTCCAGTTCCAAGGGATCCGGCGCCCCTTTCCGGTTGCCTTAGGCATCAGGCAAGCATGCAGTGCACATACACAGGCAAACACTCAAACACATTAAAAACAAATTAACCTTTTAAAAAACAATAAAACAAAACAGCACTTCCGGTAGGGAAGTACTACCAAGAGAGGTCGGGCAGGACAGGGCAGAACGTGGCTTCTAACTCAGAGCTCAGCGGGCACCTGGTTGTGCGTTAGTGCAGCCGAGCAGCCAGGGCTGACGTAGGACACGACAGAGAACTTCAGCAGCTGACTGACATGGCCCACTGGCCACAGTCTGCCCCGGCTCACCCTAACACAAAGCTGGAGTCCTTCCAACCCTCCTCCCCCTCCCCTGCCCAGGCCGAGGGCATCCACTGACAGCTGCTCCACTGCAGCTCCAGCCACTGCCTGGATTCAGATGCACAGGACTAGGGCGGGTCCTCCTAGGGAGCTCACCCAGCCTGTCCGCAGCGCCGCCCACACCGCGGCTTGTCCCCCCATGCCACCTGGCTCATCTCACCCTGCTCCAACCTCAGAGCAGGAGCAGCGTCCTTGGCACCTCCTACCATTGCACAGGCATTCCCTGCCCTCACCTTCCCCCACCCCACCCCACTGGACAGGCCTCAACCACACCCCACTCTCAGGCCTCATTTCCTCCCATCAGGACCACACATGGCCAGTCTGCACTTGCCCTGAGTGTCCAAGAGTCTCCTGGCACTCATGCTGGTCTAACCTCTTTGGGGAACTGTCCTTGCCAGGGTGCCTAACAGCACAATACTGTGCAGTGATTTCCTGTAGTTAACAGTCAACAAGTCCACAATCTTCTTTACACGTTGTTTTTTACTATGTTTGGGGCAGGATCTTGCTGCCCAAGTTGGCTTCACCCTCCTAGTTTTTGACATTTTTACTCCACACTGAAACCTGACACTATCTTGCTCAGGATGGAGGCAGTCATTTCTGTTGCATGACCTGATTTCTGATAGTCACTCGACTAAGAAGTCACTTCTGACTTCTCTTGCTAATTGTTTTAAGTCAATCATGTCTAAAGATTGTTTATGGCTATTCAGACTTTTTTTGGGGGGGGGTTGAGACAGGGTTTCTCTGTGGCTTTGGAGGCTGTCCTGGGAACTAGCTCTTGTAGACCAGGCTGGTAACTCAGAGCTCCGCCTGCCTCTGCCTCCTGAGTGCTAGGAATAAAGGCGTGCACCACCACCACCACCCAGCCAGAGATTTTCATTTTTCCCAACCTAAAAACACATGCTTTAAAATGTTTAACTTTTTTAAAGATTTATTACTTAGGTGTACTCCTGCGTGATTTTTCTGTGCACCAAACTGCCTGGAACTGGAGTTGGAGACAGTTTTAAGCTGCCTGATCTAGGTGTTGGGGACCAAACCTGGGTCCTCTGAAGGCACAGTAATTGCTCTTCAGTGAACCATCTCTCTAGCCCCAGTAATGTATTAATTTTTTAAAATAAAAACATCTAAATTGTGGGTACTATTTGTTTGTTCTCCACTGAGGAAACAGGACCTTTTCCATGCTAGGCTAGCACCCTACCACACAGCAGCATCTTTCGCCATGGGTATTTAAGATAGGTGCACCTCACCCCTCCCATCTCAGCACTGGAAAAATCCCACCCAGGTTCCATGCGCACCTGTGAGTGTTGATGAGACGGGATCATGCTATGTGGTCGGGACGGGTCTTGAACTGGTGGCCCTCCTGCCCCAGACTCCCAAGTGTCCGGGTAACAGCAGTTACTCCCTTCGAGAGGCTTGCTTTTACAACGCACTGCCAAGCCAGGTCTAAGTGCTGAGTGCTGGTGCTATGGAGAGGTCACCAGCAGGTCCCAGCCCTCTTGGTTCCACCACAGGAGACGGCCTACCCTACACACACACACACACACACACACACACACACACACACACACACACACACACACACACACACACACACGAGAACTTTAAATAGCATCACTGCATTCTTGCAAACACTTAGGACATAGAATCACTGAGGCTAGTGGGCAGTCCATGCTGCAGGCTTAGGAGACTCAAGGAGCTTGGTCCAATTTCCCAATGGGGTTTTCACAGCCCTATTACAATGCATTCCAGGCTAATTCTGATCTAAGGCTTAGTCATGCTGTATAAAAAGCCTTGGAATTTAAGTAACGCAAAGAATCAAAACTGCAACTACCCCTTTACATAGCAGTCTATATAGTATATAATGTTTTGTTCTCAGTCTCCCGCACCCCTTGGTTTCCCTGTGTAGCCCTGACTGCCCTGAACTCCCTCTGGAGATCTACTGGCCTCATCCAAGGTTTTGCCTCTCTAAAGGCCTCTCTAAAGACATCATTTTTGCAAGTACACCATATCATCACTTAATATGTAAATTTCCAGCTGTTTAAATAATAAAACAGTAGCAGGCAGTGACAATTCCAACACAATACACCTGGAAATGGCCTGCAAAGTTCGTTATAACGCCATCCATTCCATCACACACCAATAATACTTTTTTAACGCTTTAATTTTTTTATGGAAGGGGGCTCCATATGTAACAAGGAAAAGCACCCCAGGCTGGCCACGTTCAGGTCGCCAGGAAGATTCCACACCGGGTCACCGAAAGAAAAGAGACGGGCTGGCCCCTGGCCACAGACCACAGCATGACAGCACGCCGCCCAGGGCGGTGCCGAGGAGAGGTGGGGGCTGGAAGGGCGGGGAGGCCTAAGACAAAGCCAGCCGGCTGACCCCCAACACACACACCACCACTGCCGCCTCCCCAGGACCTCAGCATCAACGCTTTGGGACCCTAAGCCCACAGCTGCCATTAAAAGGCCGTCTCCACCCCGGGGTCTGAGTCAGGGCGGAGCCCTGAACACGGATGGGACAGAAGCCTCAGGGACACCGGAGTGGAGCGGAGGAGAGCGGAAAGGGCAGGGACCCGAACCTAAAGTGCAGGCCGAGAGGACGGAGCCCCGAACCTGGAGGGTCAGGGGCGGAGAAGGGACATGCAGAGAAGGGACAGATCCCGAACCAGGAGTGGCGGGGAGGGGACAAGAGCTTCAGCCGGGAGATGTGCGAGCAGAGAGATGACAAAGATCCCAGACAGGAGGGGCGCAGACAGGGGACAGCGCAGGAACCCAAACCAGGGGCGCAGGAAGACAGGGGACAAGGACCGCATCCCGGAGGAGCTCGGAGAGGTGACAAGAGAAGCGAGCCTGGAGAGGAGCGAGCAGAGAGGGGACGGGAGCCCCAGCCCGGACGGGCGCAGGAGGCGAGAGAGGACAAGGACGGCAGAGTGCAGGCAGGCGCACAGGCAGAGGTGACAGGGACCGGAGCGTGCAGGCGCGGGTGAGCGGGCGGGGTCTGGGCCCGCGCGGAGGACCGGGATGGCAGCCTGGAAGGGCCGGGTGCAGACGCGGCGGTGGACGGGAAGGGCCCGGGAGCCTCAGCCCGGAGGGTGCGGGCGGGAAGGGGTAGCGGCTGCGTCTGGAGCGCCGCGCACGAGCCGCTCGGAGCCCGGGGCGGGGCGGGGACGGGGCCGCGCACTCACCGTCCGATCGGGAGCGCCGCGCTCGTCGCGCAGTCACGGGCCCAGGCCGCGCAGAGCCCAGCCGCCTCAGCAGCAAGCAGCGCCTCCGCGGCCGCCCTGCAGCATCCTCACCCCGACCCGCGCCCCGCAGCTCCGCAGCCTCGCGCCACCGCTCCGCCGCCGAAAATGGCGTCGCCGGCGCCGCGCCCGCCCCACAATGCCGCGCGCCGTGACGTCACCCGCCCTCGCGCCGCCGGGCGGGGCTCCGGGGAAACTGAGGCGGGCGGGGGTCGGCAGCCCCGCTCTCCCTCCCCGGAAGCCTCTGGTCCGTCCTGCGGTCCTCTTGAGACTCGAGGCCTTACCCGTCGCGCCTCGAGGGACGGAGGAGGGCAAGGATGCCAGGCGGCCAGGGGCGAGGCGAGCCGCGGAGGGTGGCTCGCCCTGGACCTCCAGCCCGGCCCGGAGGGAGGGCAGGCTTGCCAGCTCCGGCGGCTCCGGGGCTGCACAGCCGCCTGGACCCAGCTGCAGGCCTGACTCAGCAGCAGCCTGGAGGGCGCGCTGAGTCAGTGGCAAGGCCGAGCTTGCCTATACGGGCTTGGGAACCCTGCAGGTGCCCGCAGACGTCCCCAGAGAGGCCCGGCGGCATTACTAAGGGGTAGGGGTTGCGAGTGCCAGCCTCCGCGCCTTGGGAGCCGCGGCCCTCGTTCTGATGGGATTGCCCAGCGCCTGGCCTCCTCCCGGGCCTGTCAACACCTGTCAACATCAGGGAGGCAGGTGCTTTTGGTCGGAACAGGCAGATCCAATCACTTTGACCTCCTCAAAAAAAAAAATCAGACTGGTTAATAAGAGACAGCTTCTGTGGAGAGCACAGCAGCTCAGATTAGCCTAAAGAGAGGCTGTGGGTTCACGGTCAAGTGAAGCCCTAGGAACGAACCGCTGGTTGGATGTTGACGCCTGCTCCTGGCCAGGTGCCCCAGGAAAGAAAGAGCAGGCTAAGCGGGAGCCCATTTCCATCCCTCGGGTCCATTTGCCCCCTCAGAGCCCTGCACACCTGCACACCTCTTCAGTGAAGGGCGAAGACTCCCTCTCCCTTTATCTGTCCCTGCTGTCACCTTATCCGTGCTTTGGCATCTCGTTCTTTCGCCCCTTCAACTAACTGATGTCCTCTACGCTCCCACGGTCCTCATAGGAAGACCCAGGTGCATAAAGTGGCAGAGGATGTCTGCCATTCCGGTGAGGATGCTGAAACAGTAAAACAGGCAGGTGAGGGGGGAAGGGTACACAACCCAGACCCCAAGGTCCGAAAAGTGTGGCGGCTGGGAAAACAGAGGAAGGAATGGACCCGCAAAGCCAGCACAGAACGCTCCAGGAAAACCCTGAGACAGGCTGGTCCCTGTCGCGTTGTGAGGGGAGAAAAGACGAACTAGGCATGGAAGTGGTGGCGCACGCCTTTAATCCCAGCACTGGGGAGGCAGAGGCTGGTGGATCTCTGTGAGTTTGAGGCCAGCCTGGTCTACAAAGCAAACTCCCAAACAGCCACAGATGTTACACAGAGAAATCCTGTTTTGAAAAACCAAAAATAAAAGACCAAGCCAGCCAACGCTGCCACAGCCACATACCCCTCTCGGCACCAGGGTAAAACTCCTTAGCTTGGTCTATGGTCTACGGGGCCCACAGGACCCGGTTGTGCTATTACCCTGTCCCTAGCTGCCCTCACCTGCCCCCGAGTTTGCCCCCACCACATCTAGTTCGGTGTCCACCTGCCTAGAATGTTGCATGCCTCCTGGGGAGACAGAGACGTCTGCGCAGGGGCTGGAGAGATGGCTGAACAGTTAAGAATGTTTGCTGGTCTCTAGGAGGACTGGAGTTCTGTTTCCGAATTGGGGAAATGCTCCCAAATGCCTGCAACTCCAGCTCCAGGGTGTGTGTGGCCCTGTGGCCGGCCCTCTTCTGCACACATGGGCACACGCCCACACATACACACACACAAATGAATATGGATCTTTGAAAAGTATATAAATAACTGTTCACCACCAAATAGGGAGGGTATCAACAGCCCAAAGAAAGAGCTCCATCCTCATGCGACTGAGCCAAAGAGCTTATTAGGGTTATTTACAGAAGCAAGAGAGACTCCCGCACAGCTACACCACCCAAAGTCCACCCAGCATGTGTGACAGCACCTCAAAACACCCAGGACCTCTCAAGACCCCGGGCAGCCAGGGGCTGGAAGGGACGGCCACTGGACTCTTGGGTGAGGGTCTAGTTCCTCTCCTGGGAGTGAACAGCTCCTTCCCATGAATCTATCAAGCGCTCTATCATCTTGCTTCTCATTACCGTGCCTGCAGAACCAAGGTTTTCTGCAGGTCCCTGTAGCAATCTCCGTCACTGCCATGGTCATGGTATTCCCACAAGAACAAGTGTCTTCTTCGTCCCCCAGTACCCCAAGACTCAGGCAAGAGTCACTTCCTCAAGCCTTCTATGGCCATGCCAGGCTGGCCAAGGCCTCCACCAGTCTGCCACCTGTCCCTTCCCTACTACGCAGTGTGGTCAGTTGACACAGTTGTTTGTCCCCTGACAGCGTTAGAGCAGGAGCATCCTCACAGCACAGGGCTGCAGGGTATGCAGCTGGGGCCCATGGAAGAGGAGGTCAGCCTGACCCTTTGCCTCACCCGCTCCAGAGGAAGAGACACTCGAGCCCTTTGAGTCCTTGACTTCTGTCATGACTCTCGGAATTCCTGCCAGTTCTTAGAGCCATTAACGGCTGAGGCTGTTCCCCCGAGGGAGGGGCTGACCAAGGCAAAAGCAGAGATGCTGTGCTCTGCTGCCCAAACATTGGGCAGGACAGCGGCCTGGCTGGGGGCAAAGCAAAGGCGTCTCTACAGTCGGCCTCTGAGGCCAGCACTCACATCTTTGTTAATGTTTTGAGATAGTGTCTCATGTATCCCAGGCTGACCTCCGACTCATCGTGAGCTGAGGATGACCTTGAACTTCTGAGCCTCTGCCCTCCACCCCCCAAAATCCGGGACTGTGGGCGTGCGCCGCCACACCCAGTTCATGCAGTGCTGGGGATTAAACGCAGGGTTTTGTGCAGACGAGGCAAGCACTCTGCGAACTAAGCTAGATCTCCAGCCCTGTACTGTGTCTGTTGACCCTCTGACCCCTGGTGCTTCTGACTTGGAGGCTGGCAGAACAAAGGAGTCATGTCCCATGTGAGCTCAGCCTTGGCAGTGAGAACAAGCCTCTGCAGCCCGCATTGGGCCAACAGATATTTTATCCCATCCCGGGGAGCCTAGAGGAACAGGGCCCTGGGAACAAACACGGGGTTACCAGGGGGAAGCCTTGACACCCCACTGGAGATCCCTGAGGCTCTGAGCATCTCTGGGACCAGCTGAAGGGGTGGGGGGCTGTGCCAAAATGGGGCACTAAGGGGCCTGGCCAGCCTGCTTCCTATTACATGATGCTGCCCCCTGGGGTTGCTCCAGCTGCAGCCGGCTGGCTGAGCAAGGATGGGTACTGCTTGTGGGAACCCTCCTCTCCAGCAAGGGCACAGCATGGCGGCACTGCCTGTCTGCTTCTCTAACCCTTCCCCTTCCCAGATGGGAATGTGTGGTCCTCTGCCCTCAGCTTTTCCAGCTCCTTCAGCCTCTGACCCTTCTGCCCTGCTCCCAAACCCCGACAGATCAATAAGCTGCCGGAAATGTAAACCAAGGCTGGGGTTCAACTTGCAGATTTGATTTTTGTCCTAATTATTATTGTTGCTGTCATGAAACACCATAACCAAAAGCAAAGTGGGTTGGAGAGGGTTTCTCTGCCTTACACTGTTGTTCATTGTTGAAGAAGTCAGGGCAGCAACTCAGGCAGGGCAGCAACCTGGAGGCAGGAGTTGATGCAGAGGCCATGCCAACAGCCTGCTTTCTTATAGAACCCGGGACCACCAGCCCAGGAATCCACAAGGGGCTGTGCCCTCTGCTATGAATCGCTAATTAAGAAAATGCGATACAGGATTGCCTACAGCCCAATCTCACAGAGGAGTTTTCTCAATTGAGGCTCCCTCCTTTGGTTTGTTTTTGAAACAAGGTCTCAGGTAGCCCAGGTTAACCTCAAAGTCATTATGTAGTCAGGATAACTTGAATTTTTCTTCCTCCTGCCTCTACCTCCTAAAATCTAGGATTAATAGGCATAGACAAAAAGAAATCCTGATTTTTGTTATTTTTGCTTGTTTTTAAGACAAAACCTCACTGGGGTTGTGGAATTGGAGGTAGCCTTTAACAGGTGCTGAGGTAAAGTTGAATCTCTCACTAAAGAACACTGAATCAGCCGGGCGGTGGTGGCGCATGCCTTTAATCCCAGCACTCGGGAGGCAGAGGCAGGCGGATCTCTGTGAGTTCGAGGCCAGGCTGGACTGACACCCTCCAAAACAATACAGAGAAACCCTGTCTCCTAAAAACCAAAAAAAAAAAAAAAAAAAAGAACACTGAATCAGCCGGGCGGTGGTGGTGGTGCACACCTTTAATCCCAGCACTCTGGAGGCAGAAGCAGGAGGATGTCTGTGAGTTCAAGGTCAGCCTGGTCTACAGAGTGAGTTCCAGGACAGCCAGGGCTACACAGAGAAACCCTGTCTTGAAGGAGGAAGAGGAAGAAGAAACAGAACTACCAAGGAGAAATAAAACAGGTTGCTGATTTGCTTTTGGTTTTTGAGACAGGGCTTCTCTGTGTAGCCTTGACTGTCTTAGAACTCATTTTGTAGACCAGGCTGGCCTCAAACTCACAGAGATCCACCTGCCTCTGCCTCCCAAGTGCTGGGATTAAAAGCATGTGCTGGCCGGGCGTTGGTGGCGCACGCCTTTAATCCCAGCACTCGGGAGGCAGAGGCAGGCGGATCTCTGTAAATTCAAGACCAGCCTGGACTACCAAGCGAGTTCCAGGACAGCCTCCAAAGCCACAGAGAAACCCTGTCTCGAAAAACCAAAAAAAAAAAAAAAAAAAAAAAAAGCATGTGCTGCCACCGCCCAGCTAGATTACTATTTTTTTTAAAGGTTTATTTATTTATTATGTATACAGTGTTCTGTCTGCATGTATGCCTGCAGGCCAGAAGAGGGCACCAGATCTCATTACAGATGGTTATGAGCCACCATGTGGTTGCTGGGAATTGAACTCAGGACCTCTGGAAGAGCAATCAGTGCT